CTCCGCAGCTCGCCCTCCGACAGCCTCCAGCCGATGTGCACGTCGTCGTTGAAGTTGGCCTCGGTCAGGATCTCCCATGACCACGACTCGGGCTCGTCGCGCTCGGCGTCTGCCGGCCAACGGATGCGCGCCGCGCCGGCCTTGGCGAGCTTTTTGCACCTTGGCTTGTCGGGCTCCTGCTTGTCGGTCGTGCCGTTGGCGATCTGCGCGATTGGGGCGAGTGGGCGCAGTGAGCATCATGTGGCATGAGTGTGTGCGAGGTGGACGAGTGGCATGGGGAGGCGGCTGGTCGGGCGACGACACACCTGCACAACGGTGCCGAGGCACCACATCTTCGCCCCCTTCCGGCGCTGCCTGCCGCTCGCGTCGGTGTAAGGCACCCAGTAGCGCCAGCAGATCTCCAGCTCCGCCCCCACGAGCGAGTCGTCGCAGGGCGGCGCCTCCTCGGGGTTCTCGTCCGCCACGCGGTCGATCTCGCCCGCCTCCTCGAGCCGCACGCGCTCGCGCTCCGCCCGCTCCAGCAGCTCCTCCGCCCCGTACTCCTGGACCCGGCTCGCAATCTCCTTCGCCTGGACGGTCGGCGTGCCCAGCTCCTTGAACGTCTTGCGCCGCACGGTCGGGATGGGGCAGCGGTCCGGCAGCTCGCACGCGCCCCGCCGCTCCTGCTCCTCCTCGAGGATCTCCTTGAGGTGGCCGGTCAGGTCCTCGACGGTGCCGATGTCCTCGTCCTTGCTCGAGCCCCACTGCAGCTGGTAGTTGAAGCTCAGGCCGATGACCCGCATCTCGCACTGCTCTCGGAGCCAGTCGAGCTTGGCCTGGTTGCCCGCGATCTTGGCGAGCTGGACCGTCATCTCGCGGATGGAGCTCACGCCGCGCGTCTGCCAGCGCTGGAAGAAGGAGAGCGCGAGGCCGTAGCGCCTGACGAGCGCGTCCAGCTCGAGCTGGGAGTTGGTCTTGCGCTTGTGGGCGACGTAGACGTCATGCTCCTGCGGCGAGGGAGGGAGGGAGCGCGCTCTCTTACCCGCCGGCGGGCTGCTACTGGTGAAGGATAGAGCGGCGCCTTGTGGTGCGCCCGGTCGACGGCGCGCTCCGAGCGCACCGAGAGCCGAGCCTCCTCGAGGAGCACCTCCTGCATCTCGCGGCTCAGATGCCAGAAGGCGCCGTCGGACTCGAACGATTTCGTCGACAGCGCCTGCGCCAAGGCGGAGGCAGCCTCGACGGTGATGCCCGGATAGCGACGCATAATCATGTCGACGCGGCCAAAGACGGACTCGGCCAGCCGGTCGTTGGTCGCGTCGAGGCCGATCGTGTCGACGTGCGCCTGCTCCATCGCCTCGTACGCGTAGGCGCCGCCGAGCGCCGTCACGTGCTTCGCCAGTGCGAGCTTCATGTCGCGAAGCTTGCGCAGGCCGCCGGCCGCCTGCACCTCGAGGTACTCCACCGTCTTGGCGCGCGAGGCGATGTTGGTCGGGTCGGTCGGATTGAGGAGCTCGCCGAGCGCCAGCTTGTAGAGCAGGAGCGGCGTCTTGCCGTCGGGGGCGAGCACCGTCTCCTCCTCGTACGTGTAGCTGCGCCACTCGGCAAACCCGCGCTGCTCCGCGGTGATCGGGGCGTAGACGTCGAGCGACGAGTCGAGCAGCACGCTGCCGTCGGCCGCCGCCCGCTCCAGGATGGTGTACACGCAGTCGAGCGCGCGGTTCATGCTCAGGGGCGACCAGTTCGTAAGCTTCGACGTGTCGAACGTGTTGCCAGCGAGCCAGCGGTACGGACGCGAGATCAGCAGGTCGATGACGGCGTTCGCGCGCGTCATGGCGATGTACTCGTTCGCGGTAAAGCAGACGTACAGAAAGTCCTCGAGGACGTTCGAGTGGTCGTTCGAGAAGACGAGCATGGCGAGGAACTCGACGATGTACTTGCGGTTGACGTACATCGCGATGGCCGCGTCGTAGTCGAGGTCCTGCGGGGCGAGACGCGGCTGAGATTGTGGGGAGATTGCGGGGAGATCAGACACGCCGCAATCCGGTGGGCGCGTCACCTGGCGGCCGCCATCGGCGCGCTCGAAGTGGATCGCAAACGCGGAGGGGTAGTTCGCGAGTAGCCACGCCGAGAACTCGACGCCCTTGCCCTTGTAGTAGCGCTGCGTGTGGTGCAGCTCCTTGTACGTCGCGCGCAGCAGCTGCGTGAAGTCGGTCGACATGCGCTCCCACGCGCTGAAGTTGTCCAAGTGCGGCTTGAGCTCCTCCGCGACGTGCCGCGCCTGCGCGCCGGACATCTCCTTCAGGAAGATGTTCCGCATGTGCTGGTGGCAGTCGAGCAGGTGGACGCGCAGCTCGTGCTCCTTCTCCTCGACCGAGAGGCCGTCCCAGGCGTCGCCCATCTTCTCGCGCGCCATCTCCGTCGCCTGCTCCTTGATAATCTCGGAGAGCAGCCGCTTGGTCTTCTCGGCCGTGGGGCACGTGTCGGACATGAGCGCGCCGCCGCCTGCGAGCCGCGCCAAGGAGAGAGCGGCAGCCTCAGGTCCGGGCCACGGCACGCCCGGGTGCATCAACCGCCAGCGCCGCATCAACCGGTTGATAAAGTCGCGCCCGCGGGCAAAGCACTTCGTCTCGATCGTCTTGGCCTCGCCCGCGGCGGTGCCGTCCGGGGAGAGGTAGGAGGCGCGCAGGATCACCGCCTTGAGGGGGGCGCCCTTCTTGGGCTCGATGACGACGTTCGAAGTCATCATTGGCTTCCCGAACTTTGTCGTCCCGTCGAAGCCCATCATGCGGATGCTGTACGCGCCGGCGACCTCCATGAAGGCGAGCGCCTCCTCGATGAAGCGCAACTCGAACCGCCACTCAGTCAGCGCGCGTGACGACGGCTCGTCGATGCTGAGCCACGGCGCGACGGCGCGAAGGACGCAGCGCACGTTCGGGACCACGGCGGACTGCGGCGTCATGTTGGACATCATCGCGAAGGCGGTGGTGCGCCAGAGGAAGCCGAACTTCTTGGCGCCCTTGCCGCCGCCCGCGCCGCGCGCCTCCCTCTCCCACACGTCCATGGCGAGCACCTTCCCCTGGGACTCGTAGAGCGTCTCCATCTCGGTCGGGTCGGCGCCGGGCTGCGCCTTGAGCTCCTCGCACTCCGCCTCCGTCGCGGCCAGCTTATCCTTGAGCGCCTTCAACTTGTCCAGCCGCGTGTCGGCGAGCTCGCTCAGCGCCTCCGCCCTGGCCCGCTCGCCCCGCTTCTCCGCGTGCGCGTCCGTCTTCAGCCGCTTCGCCTGCACCAGCTTCTTCTCGATCGCGCCGGTCGCCCGCTCGAGCTCGCCCTGCGCGCGCGCCTTCTCGCGCAGCAGCTTGTCGTCGTACTCGCTCTCGAGGCGAGAGCGGACCTTGCTGACCTGCGCGGCGACCGTGTCGGCGATGCGGATCTTGCCCTTCTCCTTGGCGAGCCGCTGCGCCTGCGACTTGAGCTGGTTCGCGTGCGTGAGCTTCTGCTGCAGCTCCTTGTTCTGCTGCTCCGCCGCCTCGAGACGCTCGTGCAGCACCGCCTTGGAGCACTTCGGCTCGAACGTTGGCTCAGTGGCGAGGACGGCCACGCGATCTCGAAGAACTCGGCCGCTCACGCGCAGCAGCGCCGCCACCGCCGGAATCGCGGCCACATGCCGCGGCGACGCGTTGCCGCTACTGTTGCGCACCGGCCCGGCGATCCTGCGCTTGGACTTGGGCGCGCGCAGCGCGACGACGTAAGCGTCAACTTGAGCTGGCGTGACGACGCCGACGGAGCCGCTCCACGTGCTCACCACGGCGGCGGCGGTCTCGACCTCGCCGCCGCCGATCCGGACCGACAGCGCGGTGTCGAGGGGCTTCAGCACGGGGCCGTGCGTTGCCCAGGTCGGAGAGGAGGAAGGCGGCGCCCACACCTGGCCGTCGAGGCCGCAGCGGCCAACTCGGTCGGCGTCGCTCTCCGCGTTCAAGACCCACTGCTGCGCGGCGCGCACGTCCGAGCGGAAGTAGAGCAGCACGAGTGTGCCGATGACCTGCACCTCGATCACCGTCGCCGCCGCCTTGCCCGGGGCGTAGAAAGGTCCATCGGGCGTCGGCGCGAGTGGCGCGGGAGCGGCCGCAAAGATTGAGCTGTCCTCGGGCTCGACCGCCATCGGCGCGGCCGGCGACTGCATCTCCTCCCAGAGCCGCTTCTGCTCGTCGGACAGGGAGTCGAAGAAGTGCAGACTCGCCACGACCTGCTCGCTGTTGCCCAGGCAGACGGGCCCGCCTGCGCAGAGCGGCGCAGAGCGTGTGAGTTTGCAGGGCTGCACGCGGCTGTGGGCCGCACTGTGGGTGGATCCAAGGGCGGGGCGCGCTGAACACCTGCTGGCTGCGTCGGTTCCGCTGGGTTTGGCTGGGTTTGGGCCGCTCCAAGCATCAGGAGGCTGGGCTGCAGCAGCCAGTGAAAAGCTCGCCAACTGCCACGGATCACCTTTCCCGCGCAAAACGGAGGCCCTGGAGCGCTGCCATAGGGCGCGGTGGTGCCCCAAACCTCGCCTGGAAGCGCAGCAGATCGGCCGGGCGGCTAGCGGACTAGCCCGGCCGGGTCGCGCATGAGACGGAGAGTCGGAGGCCATCGAAGTCGAAGCGAGGCTGGATTTGAGGATTTTTGGCGACCTGGAATTTATTTGTTTTTGGGGACCTCGAATTTATTTTTCTGGCGACCTGTCCCGACCCCTATCATCATCTGTCCAGCGTCCACCCATATACCGCGTTGGTGTCCAGTCCGAGCCTGGCTGTTCTTCACCTTTCTACCTACCTACCTACCTTTTTATGTAGGTTATGTCGGAGGGGCTCTCTTGTAGAAAAACAATATGCTGCAGCCCAACTGCACTCCAAGTGCTCAAGTGCCCGAAAGGAAGACGACCACCAGCTGCTACCACCCGCCAAAAGTGCTCCAAAATCCCTACGGCTACGCTTGCGCTGCGCGCTGCTCTCTCGTCGATACGTGTCCTCACCAAGGCAGCTCACCGCTCACCCGGCACACCGCTCACCCGGCGCCGCGAAGCCGCATGCGTAGTCGCTTCGTAGCAAGTCGCAGAGGGCAGCGCGCGCCGGTGTGCCCGGCGCGGTGAGCGCGCTGTCGACTCGAAGCTCGTTCCCACACTCGTCCCGATGCTTGGCAACCTCGGTCGAGCGCCTGAGCAGCCGCGACACGTTGGTGCCGTGCGACACGTTGCAGAGGCGGAGCAGCGCGGCCATGTCTCGCTCCTGCCGGTGTGAAAAGTACCCGGATGAAAGACATCCGATGCGGACACTATGCATCTTGGCTGGTCACAGCCGAATACAGCTGAGCTCCCTTCCCCTCGAGCGCTGGCTGGAGTACACCCAAGTCCGTCTGTTCAGCGCGTCTAGGGCTCCCGCGCCAGCCACTCCACGCGGCCGACGAAGCCAAACGGCCGCGGCAGCCGCACGGCGAGCTTGAGCACCTGCGGCCACACGTGGAACGCCTGCGTGCCGATGCACCGCCTTGCGCGCACGTCCTCGACGAGCGGCGTCAGCACGTCGCCGCGGCAAGGGACGGACAAGCACGCCGCCTTGGGCCGCGGGCATCCAGTCCGGAACCCGTGGCGATGGCGGTGGACCGCCTCCGCCGCGCCCGAGAGGAAGGCGAGGAGCGGGTCGCGCACAAAGGTGAAGATGAGGTACGGCGGCAAGTAGTCCGGCCTCGCCTCTGGCATGGCATCGGACGTCTCCATGGCAGCGGGTGGCTCCTCAAAGGTGAGCTGCAGCGGCCGGCTGGCGTCCTTCACCCGTGCCAGCGCGTCCTGGTAGCCAATACCCTGGAGCGACGTTCCCTGCACTGCCACCACCACACACCCGGGCCGGATCGCCGGCTCGCTCGACGCGAGGCCGTCGTCTGTCAGCCACTCCACCCTCAGCTTCTCGCTGCCCTTCCAAAAGCGCAAGCCGAGGGTGCCGTGCTTCCGAAAGGTGACGGTGAACCGGCGCGGCGACCGTTCCTCCACTCTTTGCGCACTCTGCTGCGGACTCGTCGTCAGAAATGGGAGTCGGACCGGCTCCACCTCGCCAAAGGACGAGAGGAGGTTGAGGATGGTTCTCGCGGCCGCCTTTTGATTCGCCACATAGACGACTCGAAGGCGGTGCGAGACGAAGGCCATGTTGAAGGCGGCGTGCGCCTGTCGAAGGGTTGGCGGCCGTCAGAGGCGGCGGTGGGGCGGTTTGCCGAACGGGCGCACTCGGGCATCCGCGCTGTCGCCGTCCTGCCAGCGACGGGCTCGCTCAGTCCAGTCGCCGCCGCCAAAGTCGGCTGCAGCAGATTGATTGAACGCGGGCACGATGGCGAGCCACTGCGCCGCAAAGCGCTGCTGCTCGGCGAGGCGCGCGGATGCGCACGCCGAGGACGCGAAGCCGCGCGCGAGCTCTGTCATCTTGGAGCACCGAGCGGGCCGGATGGCTCCCATTCGTGAAAAAAGAAATATATTCCCTTGCGAGTAAAAAGAAGGCTTCGGGCCCAAGGAAAATAGACACAAACGACACACGCACATAAAGGGCGACCCTTTCTCCGTGCGGCCGGGGCCGCAGCGCGCAGGGCCACATTGGGGCTCTGAGTTCCGCAGACACCCGCACAGCACCCACGCTGTTGATACAAGCGCGTTCCACGCGGCTTCACAGCTCGTTGCGACCGAACCGCTTGCCGCCCCCGCGGCCTCCGTGCCGGCGGGGACGGGGCTGCTTTGCGGGAACTCCCGGCCCATTCACGCCAAGCAAATGCAGTGTAAACACGAGCACGTCTCCTGCGCCGATGTCGTCGCCGGCGCCGCCCTCGCCGTAGCCGAGCTGGCTCGGGATGTACAGCTCCCACTTGTCGCCCGCCACCATGAGCTGCAGCGCCTCGGTCCACCCGCGAATCACCTGGTTCGGCGCAAAGCTGGCCGGCTCTCCTCGGTCAAAGGAAGAGTCAAACTTCTTGCCGGGCGGCAACTTGGAGTGCTCCTGCGCTGTCCTTCCCTCGTAGTGGCACGAGCAGCTCGTGCCTGGCAGCGGGTGCTGCCTCCCATCGCCCACCTGGAGCATGCGATACTGCAGGCCGCTCGCAGTCGTCACCACGCCCGGCTGCGCAGCGTTCGCCTTCAAAAAAGCCTCCCCAAACTCGTTGGACGCGAGGGCCACGAAAGCGAGCAGGAACGCCATGAGGGCACGGACCGTGCTTGTGACAAGGCTGTGCTTGCGACGGCACAGCGTCCGGTGAGTGCTGTCTGCCCGCACGCCAGCGAGCGCTCGCAGCAACCTCTCAACTCCACCGACAAGGCCCTGTGTTCCCCAGCGCACAGCGCCATAGGAGGGCGCCTGGGTCTAAATTTAGTGCGGTGTGAAGTGTTTATGTACTGCATCTTTAGTGCACTTTAGCGCGAATTTAGTGCGAATTTAGTGCAACTTTAGTGCAAATTTAGCGCAAATTTAGCGCAAATTTAGTCGACTTTACATCCAGATTTAGCGAGGTTTAGTGCGTCTTTAGTCCAGCCGCGCAGTAGGATCCAGCCGCAGCCCCTCCCTGGGCCTCCCTCCCCCTCTCCCCCTGCAGTTCCCTGCCCACTCGCAAAAGTTCCCCGTCCCATCCCCAACCGAGCGAAGTAAACCTGCTGATATCAGCCTAAAAGGTGCTTTCCGGGCTGCTTCTCCGGGCCCGCCGAGCGGCAAAACGATTGCCGGGAAGCGTGGCGCATTCAACTGTGCTGGTCCTCCTCTCGGGAATCGGTGCTGTGCCTGTGCTCAGTCGGGAGATCTTGCTCTGGAGGGCGGCATATCTAGCCTCACTGGGAGCCTGCCTTTGGGTCATGGCGTGCTGCGGCATGTGGACGCGCGTCCAGGTATTTTTCGGGTATACCTGGACTTTCTCGGGTATACCCGGGTTTTACCTGGGTCTTGGGCAGGCACCCCCCTGTCGGTCGAGCAGTCTTGGCTCCCGCGAGGTGTACCCCCCTCTCGGTCAGAGGCCTGGCCAGGGGCACCTGTAGGGGGGTACCACCACCCCCCTCATGCTCACACGTCTTGCGAGAATGGGGGCGGCTAGGTGCGAGGGGGGGGGTGTTTGAAGATGACGCGCATATCAGGGCCCAGGAGCGGCGCGAAGGCAGGGTACAATTGTACCGAACGACCAGTAGGTTGAAGCGCCAGCCAGTGTTGGAGATGTTGGCCTCAAGCCTATTCCTCGCTAGCGGCTCGGCCTTCCTAGCGGCGCGGCCCTCGGCCCACTCGATACTGCCAGGCCGCCTCTCCGCCTCTCCGACCATGGGGCTGTCTGACGGCCTCGAACCCTCGCGCGCCGGCATGAGCGCCGCAAGCAGCAAGATGGCTTTTGGGCCGCCCGGCCGGGTGCTTGGCGGCGCGGCGTCGGCGTGGGTTCTCCTCTTTAACGCCGACCAGCCCGACGAGGTGAGCTCTAAACTCCTCTCCTCGCTGCCCCACGCTACTGCCCAACTCCTCGCTGTCACCGCCACTCTCCTCACCGCCGGAGGGAGGCCGACGCTGCTGCCCAATTCCTCACTGTCGGCTCCTGCTCAGGGCGTCTATACGATGCAGAGCCGGCCGCTCGGCCACGGCCGCCGCACCTACCTGGTGAGCTTTGCGGCCCGCGACGACGCAGACACTTTCGCCTCGCTGCTCGAGGCACGTCTCTTCCGAGACACGTCGCAGACACTTCCGAGACACGAACTGACGCTTTCGCCCCGTTCCACGAGGCGGACTCGCGCGACGCCGCCTCGCCGGCCGCCGCTCCGGCGCAGTGGAGCGCCAGCCAGCTGCAGACGCTTTGCCATGCTGCTCGCTTCCAGCTCGCCCACCTGCCTGCCGGCGCGACTTAGCCGAGATTGGAGTCGAGAGAGAACCAACGGCTAGGTGGATGCTCAAGACGGGCCCTCGCCTTCCGACTGTGTCCTGGGCATCCCCGAGTCGGGTTCAGTTGGGGACTGTACCCTCTTTCTTCCGGCCGTACCGTACCCAATCCTAACCCTGACCCCGACCCTAACCCTAACCCTAACCCGAACCCGAACCCGAACCCGAACCCGAACCCTAAGCCTGACACCTGTCCTCAAGGCGGGATGCTCTACCCGCCGTCGGAGAACGAGTACGACGAGGCTGTCCTCATCAAGCAGGAGCCCGAGATGCAGCCGAGATGCCGCCGAGACATGCCGCCGAGATGCCGCCGAGATATGCCGCCGAGATGCCGCCGAGACTTCCCCCCACACCACCCACCCCCAGCCCTGACCCTAACCGAACCCCAACCATAACCCCATCCCCTACCCTGGCCCTGACCCTAGCCCCAGCCGCGAGCAGGCGGGGCGGGCGGCGCTGAGCGAAGAGCCTCCCCGCGGCGCCGCGTTCTCCGCCGAGGTGCGCGCGAGATTGCGAATATTTGCGAGATTTGCGAGACTCGGCGAGGCTCGGCGAGGCTCGGCGAGGCTCGGCGAGACTCGGCGAGATTTTGCGAGATTCGGTGAGATTCGGCGGGATTGGCCGACAGTGGCCGACGCGACGGCCGCAGCCGAGATTCGGCCGAGATTCGCCGAGATTCGCCGAGCTCGCCCCCCCAAGGTATCCTTCTGCACTTTGTCTCCCGGCCCCGTGTGTCGGGCATTCTTGTGTCGAGCACGGCCTTCCTCCCCCCATGCAGGAGCGCGCCAAGAAGCGCCGCCGATCCTCGAGTGCGGGCCAGCGAGATCGCAATCTCCCGCGCGCCGCCGAGCGGCTTGCGCCACGGCGCGCGGAGAGGGGGCAGGCGCCCGCCGGACAGGGCGACGAGGAGGGCCGGCTGGCGGCGCTGCGCCGGCAGCTCGAGGCGAGATTCCCGAGATTTGCCGAGATTCGCCCGAGATTCGCCCGAGATTGTCCCGGGTCGGGATTCGCCGCGGTGGCGATGCCCGGTCAGTAAGTCCAGAGGCGAGGAGCAGTCAGGCTCAGAACACCGGCGCGCGGTATGGGTGTGGGCGCGAGACAGGAGATGACGGCCACGCTGGAGCGACACACACAGACTCACAAGCTCACAAGGCTCTCAGCCGGCTCGGCAGTCGCACATCTCGACCACACCACGAGTGCACGAGAGCAGTTGGCAACCTTGCTTCCGAGATCGGACCCCGGAGGACCCCTCTCCCCGTAGGCGCGCTGGGAGGCGGACGACGCGGACGAGCGCGCGTGACGCGGGAGATTGCGTCGAAAACGCATGTTACTCCTGATCTGCCGACACGTGCTCTGTGGAAGCTGCGTGACTATCTAGATAGCTCACGTGCATGTGGGCGCTGCCGAGAGCGAGTGAGCCGCCTCGGAGCTCTCGACGAGTGCCGCGCCGACTTAGGGCACGGCGCGGCCGCGGGGCCGCGGGGTTTGGAAGCTGGAAGGAGGGTGGGCGGTGGGGCGTGGGCGGGCGGGCCGGCTCCGGCCATGGAGGCACGCGGCTGGCTCGTGGTCTTTCGGCTTTATATGTAGGCGCCGCGCACAAAAGAAACGCGGCCTCGCACCGGGACAATCGCTGCTCCTTCGCTGACAACCACCGTCAGGCGTCACTTGGTCCTTACGCCATCTGTGCAGAGCTTGCGAGCAGCAGAGCCAGGGAGGAGCTGCTCTCCAGAGTGACTTCAGTCGCAAAAGAGATGCATGCGCCACCCGAGGCGCTGTCGAGGTTCGCCGAGCGCGGCGCAGAGGTCGGGGAACACTGCTGACGACGAGCGGCTGGTCGGATTCACCCGCCGCTAGGACGGCGGCACGCACACGAGCTGCGGCCAAGCCGCCGTCCAAGCGGCGAGCGCGGATTGTCTGTGGCGTCCTCCGATTTCCTCAACTTATGAGACGACCACCGCAGTGTGGGGGTGGCGAGGCGCAGCGCGGCTCTACGCCTCATCGAGCTCGACCGTTACCGGGCATGCGGTCGAGCAGGTTTGGCACGACTCGTACTCGTCGTCGAACTCGTAGTGCGTCACGACGCCGGTCCGCCCTCTCGCGTTCTCAATCTCCTTGACCTTGACGTCGCCCACGACCTCGACCCGGTCTCCCGGGTAGAACTCGAGGCTGAGCCCCTTCGGATGGAATGCATAGTAGTCCTCGTCGTACACGACGTCCCAGCGAATGCGCTCCCTCTCCTGGAAGGCGGCGACGTCCTCCGCCCTCCGCGACACCAGTCGCACGTCGCGAGAGGCAAAGTAGCCCTTTACTCGAAGCGTCGGCGCAGCGCCTCGGCCGCTGCAGTGGAGCGGTGGCGCTGCGTTGAGGACAAAGGCGGAGGTAAGCGCGAAGATCGGCAACATAGGGATGTGAAAGACCAGTGCACAGCGCCATAGGGGGGAATCCTGCGACGTATTTTCTCTTGAGCATTTGAGCACTGGATAGGGTCGATTCCGCATGGTACGGGACCCCTCGATCGTCTCGCCCTCCCTCGCTGGTGTGCTCATGGGGGGGGGGGGTCATAACAAACACGGTACAGGCTCCCCGGCCCTGGATGTGAGGTTAATGACTGCACTCCAAGTGCTCCAAGGATCGAGGTGCACGCTGCCGAAGCAGTGTCGTCCCCCCTCTATTATTCTCAATAAGAATTTAAACAAGCGAACTCTCGCTCACAGCAGACAGGCTCGACACAGGCAGGTGCGAACTGGCGCGTGCTAGTACTATCACAGGCACACCACCGGAGCCGCCTAAGCGACTCCGTTAAGAACGGCAATGCACTTAGCATCGTGCACAATGCCGCTGTCCCCGCACGCTAGCTCGTTCACCGTCTGCCACGCCACGGCGGTGTGGAGAACGACAGACAAGCGCTGCATCTGCAGCCCGTGCCAGTTCTTGGTGGTCCATGTGACCTCATCGAGGTGCTGAGCGTGCGAAAGTTTGTTACTCAGCTGGTCCGCCGCCTGCCGAAGAATTTTGCGGACGCCGTCCCCGAAGCCGCCGAACGTCTCGAAGTGCAAACGCAGGTCGCAATTCTTCTCCCGCGCGAACCGGTAGTCGCCCTTCTCGTAGCGGGCCGTCACAGGTGCCCCCAGTGCTCAAGTGCTCAAGGCGGTCGCAGGGTAATTTCCAGGTATACACGGGTTCTCCGCGAAATTCCCGGCATTTTGCCGATTCGGCCTAAAATTTGGCTGATTTTGGGCCCAAACCAGCCTCAGACTCGGCTCAGAGCCAAAAATTTGACGATTTCCACGCAGTTTCCCCGGAAAAATAGAGAGGAAAAGAGAGGGTGCGGTAGAGAAAAAAGGAAAGGAAAACAGACGGGCGGGGTGCGAGAGGCAAACCTGGTTGAGCTCACTGTATGAAAAAAGAAAAGCAATCGACGCTGTACCCCCCCGAACGAAGGACGCTCCCTCGGCTAGCGTGTATCTGCCTTCCTGCAGCCTTCTTGCTCTCTTGCGCCGCCAATGATCGCTCTTCAGCCCTCGCCGCCGTCGCGTGCGCGTGTCATCTCGTGCTCCGGCGCTTTGCTCTCGCTGACCGCCCTGCTGGTCCTCGCGCGGAGTGCTGCCGCAGGCCGTGCGATGCCGGGTAGTTTTCCACCAGAGGCAGGCCTCGGACCAAAGGCGTCGCGGGTGACAGCACGGATCCGGGAGGAGCTCATGCCACACTTTGGCATGCCGCACTTCCAGCAGCAAGCTCTGCCAGAGCTCAGAGGCCCGCAGCTTCCAGAGCCGCAAATGCCTCAACTGCAAATGCCGCCACTACTGAGCTTCGACGCGTCTCCCAGACAGCAACCGAAGCGGCCGACAAAGTCTACCAAAGCGCAGCCTCCTCCGGCCAACACAGCTGCGACGCCATTGGCCGTCTCTCCCTCGGCCGCTCTCGCCTCCGCCATCGCCGCAGGCGCCATCGCCGTCTCTGCCGACGTCCCCGCCTCCACCATTTCCGCCTCCGCCCTCACCGGCGGCATGGTGAAGGGCACCGTCGAGGCCGACCGTGCCAGCTTGCCCACGGGCCGTGCAATGAAAACAAACGCCTCCGAGTCCAGCGGCCGTGGCACCACCACGCGCGATCCTGGCGGCGGCGGTGCTCCCCTGCCAGAGCTCCGCCCGCCAGAGCTGCCCAACGTAGAGCTTCCAGATGTAGACACTGGCCTGCCCGAGCTTCACGCGCCGCGGATACAACTGCCGCCGGTCAGCTTGCCGGAGCCGCCCCAGCTCCAGGCGCCGACGGTCCAGTGGCCGTACCTCTACGAGCTGTACCCCTCCACAAGCTCGCCTCCCGCCTTCGAGCTGACGAGCGGGCCGCTGGCGCTCGACCTGAGGCACTCGCCAAAGCTGACGCGGCTTCCGCCCGCCAAGACCTCCTCCTCGCCGCCTCCGGCACCCCACTGGGTCGCAATCTCGAGACTGAGCCCATCCTCACCGCCCCCTCCCCAACCGCCAGAGGCGTACCCATGGCTCCCTTGCCGCCTGCCCGGCGTGGTGTGCTCCGGCGGCACCGACGCCACGGGTCGGTACCCCGTGAATGTCGAGGTGTCCCAATGTTTCTGATTCGTTTGTGCGACGTGTGTTCTGATTCTGCGAGCTATGCATAGAGCTGGGTCAGTGAGTTGCTGTTGTGTACGTGACGCGTGCTTTCCAGTGCACCTTGCTACTAAGCGTTTCTTTGTTTACACTGTGAAGCCACAGTATGTCGAGTCTCTCAGCTGTTTACCGTGTGAACTGTCGTTACTTTCCCGTGTGCGTTCCGCTTTATTCCTCTCCTCTCCTCGACTGTCTATCTCTCTCTGTAGTGCTCTTTTTTTTAGGGGTTGAGAGAGTTTACCTTAGGGGACCCCTAGGGTTCTGTGGGCCGGATTTTTCGTAAAGAGCTTTTAAGAAAGAGGTTTTTGGGGGCTTAAATTGCCATTTAAGAGATTGCAGGCACGCCGCGGGGGGTCTCCCTCTTTTAAGACCGTTTAAGAAAATCGGCCTCACCGGCATGCGTCGCTGGTTCCGCGCCGTTTTCTCCAATACTGCCGTTATTAGGCACAAACCCGCCTCTGAAGACACATCTGTAAGTCTGGTGCACTGGTAGGAGCCATACTCGCATAGGGGACACGTGCTAGCTGACTGTAGCCAGCTTCCCGGCCTCCGGCGTCTACTTGAGCACTTGAGCACTGGATAGGGTCGATTCCGCATGGTACGGGACCCCTCGATCGTCTCGCCCTCCCTCACTGGTGTGTTCATCGGGGGGGGTCATAACAAACACGGTACAGGATCGAGGTGCACGCTGCCGAAGCAGTGTCGTCCCCCCTCTCCCCGACGGCGATGGCGGTGTGACCGATCGAGCTACAAGAGGAGCTTGTTCAGCAGGATCCGAGTTAGACCAGTGCACTGCCTCACTGGGCCTGAGATCACCAGAACGCTTCTCGTCACCGTCTCGGATTTGTGTGGCGGGAGCCTCCCGGACCATCGACCTCGGGAGCTTCGAAGAGCTCAGCGTAACGCTGAGCGCGCGCACGGTGTCTACGTCAATCGCTCCACGAGGCGAAGTCGTCCGCGCCACGTTGCCGCTCACCGTGAACCCAGACTTTTTTTGACGACAGCCGTCTCCCCCCACCGCGCTTTGTTTGCTTGGTGCCCAAACACGAGTTGCACGAGATCACAGTCATCTATCTCTATTCGCGGGCTGGCTGTGGCAGCGTGGCTCTCTCTGCGTCTCTGTGAAGTTTACCTAACAACGAACCGAGGGGTCCCGTACCATGCGGAATCGACCCTATCCAGTGGGCAGTGCTCAAGTGCTCAACAACGAACCTAAAACCAAAAGCACACGCTCGCTCCGTCGACTCGAAGGCTCGCACTTGTCTGCGACACAGATTATTCTCTCCACCACCCTCGCCCAGGGATCTACAACGCTGTCTTAAGGTCCGACAGGTTCGGCACCGGGCACCGCCTCGGTATACAAAATGCGCCTGCGGGCGGACCCTCACAGATCACAGATCAAATCTAATCACCCGAATGCCACGTTCGGATCGCTCCTCATCGCAAACCCGTCAGCAGTTCGCCCTCGGGTATGTTCGTAAGAGCTACATGCCCCCAGAGCTACATGCCCCCCCCCACCCCTCCCCGCCCGGCCCCCGCCCTTCCTCCTCTCCCCTTCCGTCCCAGCTTCACTCATCCCTCTCTCGCCATCGCCTGCAGGTGCAGGGAAATACGAAACGAAAATTGATGGGCTTGCCCATCCCGGAGTGGTTCGATCCCACATGAATCCGAGACGGTGATGGGGGCGTCTCGGCGGTCTCAGGCCCAGTGAGTGAGGTAGTGCGCCCGACCGTCCCGGATCCTGCTGAACAAGCTCCTCTTGTAGCTCGATCGGTCACACCGCCATCACCGTCGGGGAGAGGGGGGACGACACTGCTCTGGCAGCGTGCACCTCGATCCTGCACCGTGTTTGTTATGACCCCCCCCAATGAACACACCAGTGAGGGAGGGCGAGACGATCGAGGGGTCCCGTACCATGCGGAATCGACCCTACCACGAAGATGCCGCCGAAGAAATTGAATCCCATAAGTAAGTAAGTGGCTAAGTAAGTGGATCCTACTTACGTCCCTTTGTCGTCGATCTCGTCGTCGTCGATCTTCGTCGGTGCGCTGCTGCCCGCACACAGTCTGCGCTTCCCACGCGTCTGAGCGAGCTCAACGCGCCAGGCAGCCATGATCCAGGCCGAGAAGCAGGAGAGCGGCAACGCCATGAAGACGCTTCTCGTTGTCTCGCTGCAGGTCGGCGTCGCACGTGGAGGCGGCGGCGAGGCACTGCCGAGGCATGTCTTCGCCGACGGCCAGGGCGGCAGAGAGATGCAGCAGAGAGAGAGGGCGGTGCTAGCGCCAAACTCGCAGCGGGGCCGGGCGGCTGTCGTGCCGGCGGCGGGCGCTCGCAACTTCCGCAGTTTGAATTCTTTTGTTGTAGGTTTGTAGTTGGCAAATCAAGACACAGAGATCACACAGAATCTTGTGATGTTTTGATGGGATTGGAATAGCGCGAAGAATTCTTTGTCAACACCGGTGTGTGTGCCAGTCCGCGCCAGCCTGCGCCCTTGTCGTGCCAGTGTGCTGTGAGAGAGAGGTTAGTAGGAAGGTGAAGAACAGCCAGGCTCGGACTGGACACCAACGCGGTATGGGTGGACGCGCTACAGATGATGACGACACGCACGAGCGACACACAGACAAACATTTCCCCTTTTATTCTGCAAAGGGGTGTGAACGGAGAGAGCAAACTCCTGGCAGCTCCCACAGCCGAAATGTGCGCCAGCTGCCCGCTCACCTGTGTCACGCCGCCGCGCACGCACCTTGCTATGTGCTCGCGCGAGCTCCCGCCCGAACCTCCAGCTCGGCGTCCCACTGCTTGGGAGCCGATCGCTTTTCCTCGGCGCTCGCGTCGAGCCGAGCTCTCGGCACTCTACGGCGGGCGTCGCTGTGCGGGGCGCCCGTTTCCTGCTGGCCCGAGCGGAAAGCTCCACGCGCCCGCGCGAGCTCCCGGCCGAGCCTCCAGCTCGGCGTCGCACTGCTGAGGAGCAATTTGTCGTCCGTCGGTGCTCTCGAGGAGCCGAGCTCCTTGGCCTGCGGCCGGCGACGCTGCAGGACGGCGCGCGCGCACCCCCCCCTCCCTCACTCGTCGCTTTTCCGCGGTCTGCGCACAACATCCCTCGTCTCGGCGCTTTTCACGGCGTATTCCCCCCCCCCACCCCCTTGTATTTTACGGCGATAGCACCAGCGCCCCTTCTCTCCGTTGAACCGCCCCTTCCTTTTTTCCCTAGGTTGACCCCCAAAAAACTTTGCCCATACCGCCAGGGCGCGGCCTGTGTCGCCCCCCAAATCAGTGCCCTCGCCCCTTTTTTCATGGTATTGGCACCCTCTCCAGCCCTTTTTCTTTT